AAAAAAAAATTAAGGTGGGCGCTGGCGAAGACGGTTTGATGCTGCTGTGCGATGTTGCCCTAGGCAAGATCAAGCCGGAGAAAAATGCTCAAATGCATAGTTTGGAGACCATCAAAGGATACAATAGTGTTCAAGGTAAAGTGTAGATTTGATTATGAGGAAGCCATCAGAAATCCCCATTCTATGAGAGAAAGCGAAGCTATGTCTCTCAGGTTTGAGCACTAGAAAAACATAAGATTTTGATGTTGAAGTCTTTGAAAAAAGTGTCCTTTTTCTTTGAAAAATGGCCACAACCGGATCATAAGTACAAGGGAAACTTGATCCTTTTTGGCAAATGTGATATTGCTATGGTCACTCTTGGTTGCTTAAACTTTTGTGAGAGGTTTGAAGAAAATGACTCTCTTAATCTTGTTGCTGTTCTATAAAGATTGCTAACTAAAAAAACAGTGTTGAAGACATGTGTAGGGCCAGGATTGGGTTAATCAGAAGTAAGAGCTTGAAATCGGCATAGGCTATGGAAAAAAAGAGCAGAAATACCTTTAGGAATTGGCGCTACCCAGCCGGATCCGAGTGACAAGTTTGAAATGGAAGATGGATGCGTTATCGTCAAAGGAAAACCGGTTGATGATAATCGATCAAACCACTGTTTATTCTATAACGAGTAAGTCTCAAAGACGGTATGGTCATTTTTAAGATAGAGTCTCATTTCAGATTCATTGTTTACGATGTCGATCAAATACGAATGCGTTACTTGCTCCGATTACGCTTCAAAAGTCCTCATTAGTGTGTCTACTCCGATTTCGCTTACCCAGCTATGATAGAGAGAAAGCGCTAAATTTTCAGATTAACCCAAATCTATGTATGGCGCTATACTTGTTGTTGATTTCATTCAACCATAGTTGGTGAAATTCTGACTGTTAACCCTTTGATTCAACGGCATTGGCGGCTGGAAGGCGACCGCTCGCACTCACGACGCGGTCTGCGTCTTCCTCGCGAGCGTGCTTTCTGATCACTCTCTAGCCTTGATTAGGACTCGAAGCCCCGCCTTCCAGCCGTCAGTCGCGTTAAGGGTATGCAATATGCATGGTTAGCAGTACGGTACAGAAGTGTTCTCTTATTTTATTTCGAGAAAAAAATGAAATTAATGTTTGTATCTCTATGTATCTATCTATAGATGTCTGTTTTATATGGCAATAAAGTTTATTTCCTGATCCCCAATATAATCCCTTTGCAAAATGATGCAGAGGAAAAAAATACGTTTTGTAATCTAATAATATAATGCTGTCCATCATTTTATCATATTCACCAAAATTTATTAGATGGATCTACCCCCTATATGTAAGTATGGCGGGTGAATTCATTGGTTGTTTTACTGCTTACTTTGTAACATAACTAAAAACTTAATTTTTTATCTTCGATGATCTGGTTGTTCCTGATAAATCTGTTAAATGTCTTTAGCTTAGCAAAACTTTATACTATCGAGATGCCAATCAGCGTTTTTTAGTATCCATGTACATATTCTAGATTTTCAGTCAATCTAACAACTGTATAATTTTGCAAAGCTCATTCGCATTTCGCTTCATATCGTTTGCTCTAGCATATTTCATCTTTGAAATATTTATAGCTTTTCTTATCTAAAAAGCCTCTTCCAAATGTCCCCCATTTTTCCAAACTAGAGAAGCAGCTTCCGAGAAATTGACCATTGTGTTATCAAG